GGTACTGCAGATTGAACTCGGGTCCTTGCACTTGCAAGGCAGGCCACTGAACCACTGAGCTAAATCCCCAGCCCTAAATTTGATGCTTACAGCTGAAATTTCCAATCCTACTACCTGTTCTCTGTTTTCTTTAAAAAAAGAAAAAGATCTAGGGGATAGTACAGGAGTTGATAAAGTAAATATTTATAGCTTGTAGGCCATATAGTCACTGTTAGGAGTACTTAACTCAACATGATTATTATCTTATGAAAGCAGCCATGAGTCAAATGTAAATGAATGGGCAGCTATTTCCAATAAAACTTTATTTACAAAGACAAATGATGGGACAGACACAGTTCACAGTCTATTGTTTGCCAGTGCTTCTTTAGAAGGGTATGAGATAGTGTTAGCAGCAGGCAAACTTCATCAGAACAGAAGGAAAATTTTAAAAGCAATTTCTTTCCCAGTCCAGTGAGCTTTAAATGTCCCATGTCATGGCCAAGAGAATAGTGTATTGGGAACTGGCCATCCTGCTGGCCTCCTGCCTTTCCAGCCTTCCAAAGACTCCTGCTGTAATTTAATCTCCTGCCATGGTAGTGCTTTAGCTATGACCCCACCATTACACTAAAGGTCAGTGTGTTTCAGGACAGGGAGACAGGAGTAGGAGGAGGAAAAACATCCTGACAGCCAACTCCTTGTCACTCTGGGTCAGCCTAGAGAACACACAACTCCGGCTGAGCAGAATCTTCTAATCCCACAGCTGTGGGAGAGGTTTTTGGTGAACCCAGCCAGTGGACAAATCTCACCTGATGCTGCTGAAACAAACAAACAAACAAAAAACCGCATTCTAAGAGTTGGACCAAAATTCTATCATTAAAATTTTTAGAGTAATGATGTCGCTAGGGATCCAGAGAACTAGTAATGGGTGATTACCAGGTGTAAACTGTGTGGTCTGAATCCCCATTCCATCGCTTACTGGCTCTGCATTCTTGGGCAGGTGATTAACCTCTCTGTGTTTTAATTTTCTTGTCTGTGCAGTAATAGGCAATAAAACCTGTCCATGGGGTGGCTGTGATGATTTAATGAGCTATTTTATGTAAATTATGTAAATTGAGACCTAGTATTTTTCCATCGTTCTCAGTTTTAAATTTTTCTCCTATGAGTTTCTCTTAGACTTTTAGCCCTTGCTATTACTTTTACATAAGTACAAAGCAGTTGCTGATTTAAAATAAAGTTTTATAGTCAGTCATTTTGAGTTTACTATGGTAAAATTCCAATTTTAAAATCACCACTCAAAGTACTGTGGAAGGGACTTATTTAACACTCTGTAGGAATCAGGTCAGGATAGAAGGAAGCAATAAATAATATCCAGCACCTGCCAAGAGCTCTGGCTGCAGCCCTTCTAACAACCCCTAGGAGGTACATGTTATCACTGACATTTATCAGATGAGAAAACAGAAATGATAAGAGGGGAAATAGCTTCATGCCTGGTTCAAGGCCAGATATGGGTGGACAGACCAGAGGCAACCTATGTAATCTCAGAAAAAGCCCTCTGAGCAAGGCAAATTTAGCCAGAATGTTCATCTTGTCTCCAAGCGCCATGAACCAGCAGTGGCAGTGGTAACTGGTGACGCTGGAAGGAACGGCACATGTGCAGGCCTTCCCTGTCACAGCCTTCCCCGCTGCCACTCATCCTGCCTGAGACTCAGCCCTGCCTGCCTCTGGTCCTGGCCAGTTTCTGGCCTGTGCAGCCCCCTCCTCCTTCCGCACCAACTCAGAGAGCGGCTTCTGCAGGTCCACTGCCCTCTCCTCGAGGCGCTTCCTCGGAGCTTTCTTGGCTGGGAGCCAGGATGCCAGGCAACCACTTCTAAATATTTACTGAGCAGAGCATGACAAGCCAGGGCTTCTGAGGAACTGAGCAGGAAATAGCCGCCAATGCAAGGGCCACTCCTCCCATCATATTCTAATGACACCTCAGGGCTTACCACTGACCCTTCCGTCCTTATGTCACCAGGCATCCTACTCCTACGTGCTACCGGCTGAGTGCTCCCTGTAACCCGGCACCACTGCTGCATCCCAAACACACCTGCACCTAATGCAGTCACGCCACACCGTCAGCAGGTGCATCTCCTCTTCAGAGATGAGACAAGGGAAGCCCAGACAGCTGGCCCGGCTTGCCCAGGGGCCTGAGGGGCAAGGCAGCCCCTGAGCACAGTAGAGAGGAACTGTAGCGAGCCATGAGGACTGTCACCTTCAGCAAGGTCCCGTTTACCAAGTAGCAGCCTCTGAGAAGTCACAGTGAGCACAGCATGCAGACTCCCAGGCATGTTTCATGGTTGCTGTGCCCTCTTAACTTAGTACAGCTTGGCACACAATGGCTCTTCAATTCTGTTTACTAAACGAAGGGAGATAAGGAAGAAAGGAGGAAGAAGGAGAAAGAAGTGGAAAGAGGAAAGGAGAGGTAGAAATTCAGAGAGTTTAATTAATCTAAGATACATTTTAATTAATTCACAGGTCTCTGTGACATTATCTTGGTGCATCCAAACAGAACACCAAGACTGAGCAGTCTGAGTGCACCTCGGGCTGTGTCCTGGATCATCTTGGCTACTGTGCAATGCGCCACAGTACCCAGCTTGCAAACCATGTCCCTCGGCAATCTCCTGCCCGAAGCCCACCTCCGCAGCTTGCTATAATCTGGGAGAGTTCTCTAGCGCGTCCCTTTTCTCAGTGTTAAGATTTGCTCGGGCTGGGGATTAGAGGGTGTGGAAGTCTTCGAGTGGCCCTCAGATTGCAGTGCAGGGACTTAATACGAGTGCACTTTGCCCAAGCACTCACTGTGCTGTAGCAGGGACAGCTGTGTGGTAGGGCACCCATGTCCCCTTCTGATGGCTGTGGCAAGGCCTCCTCTGGATCTTGCAGGGGCAGCATTCTTTATGCTCTGTGGACGCTGCTTCCCAGAATCCCAGCATCTCAGTTACCTTGATGTGCCTTCTCCTTGGAGAACAATGGATGCTTCGCATCCTGTGAAGGAACACAGCGACAGCCAATAAAGGGAGACTTACCAGCAGGGAGGAGGCCCAGAGAGGAAAGTCCCCAGTTTACCCAAGCACCAGGCAGTGCCTGTCACAGAGTCGGTTCTCTTGGCTTCTGTCTTGACCCTGCAGGCTTGGGGAGGGGCCGGGGCCTCACCCACAAGGTGTGAATTCTCACGTGTGTCAGTGAGGCGACTCACAAGCTGGGGTGCCTGGGCTTCAACTTGGGCCATCAGACTGCTCCAGAACTGTTCACCACTTTAGCACCTTGTGTGAAATATGTACTTGGAACTTGGTTTCCAAGCTGTGGGAAGGAAAAATGGATCCTTAGAGTGCTGTGTACAGGATGAAAAAAACAAGGTCCTGAAATACTCTGAAAGGTTCATTGCTGCTCTGTTCTGCTGTCTACAGATGTTGGTTGTTTACATGTATTATGCGCATGCTGTTCATGGCTTCATTGCTTTGCATGAATGACTTCATTTAAATTCTCACTAGAGCCCTACAAGTTAAGCATTGTTATTTATCCCCATTTTCCAAAGGGGAAAACAGAACAGAGAGACTCCACAGCTTGCCCAGGGACACACAGCTAATAAGTAGTCAGGCTGGAGTTCAAATTCAGCCTGGACAGAGACCTGGTTCTTAGGCTGGACTAGTGTATCTTCAGCATCTGCCTATTATAAATTAGGACATTCTTTGGGGCACTGCCAAACATATATAGATATAAAGATGTTTGTATCTCTATTAGCTACATATACATATCTTATAAGTTGTTTTGTATGTGTAACAAATTTGGAACATGACTAGATATAGTTCCCTAATTTATAGAATTGAAAATTTTTGTAAAGTATATATCTACATATACATGTGCTTATAAAACATGTGTATACATCTTCATATATGTGTAGAGAGAAATCTCCCATGCTTGTTGAATCAAAATATGCATAATTGTAATCTACCTAATACCACTTTGTGAAATTTTGCAAATATCGTCACAATACAAAAAGTCATGAGGTGGCCAGAGAAACAGGAAGCGCCACGTAGCTGCCCACAGTCCTGGCGCCGGATGTTACTGCTTGTGGCCTCAGCCCTTGTGGAGCTAGCACTGCCCCCGTTTTACAGGTGAGGCCATCGTGATTCATGGGGTAGTGGCCAAGTCCACTTGGCTGCAAAGGGGCAGCACTACATTCAAACCACATTTTTCATTGAGCCGCATCTAATTCCTCTGTTTCCCAAGTGTCTGAGCAAGTGAGGGTAAAACAAACAAAAGACCGGTGGCTCTGAAAGTCTTAACACTGCAGGCAAGCAGAAGAGAATGTCTGCATGTCTACCCAAGTGCAAGCGCGAGCCTGCCCTTGTCTTCCTTTGCGAGTGCTGCTCACTGGCTGCCAGTTTCCAGAACCCCTCAACCTCCTAACTGGGGACAGGCTGAGGCCAGTCAGCTGCCACCTGCTGACAATGAACAATGGGTGTGGAATGCTGGCTCTGGCAGGATCCAAAGAAGGCAGCCTGGCCACTCAGCCACTGGGGACAGGGATGTCCCTTACCCTGGGGCTGGGAGTCGTTGATGAATGCAGCCATTTCAGATGCAGCCACAGGCATTTTCCTTCTCCCACTATCTCTCTTTTAGAGCATCACATCACAGCTCACCTCCTCTGTGACATCAAATATCCTGCTGTCACAGGAACAAGACTGCACTTCTCCTCTGCTGGGGCTGGTGGTGGCTCCTACAGGAGCCAGGGCACAGACTCAGCCTGCTCTGCCGCTGCTGCTGCACTTCCGGTGACGCAGACCTGCCCCACATTATTTGCCAAGCAAAAAGGGAGTTTCATGTCATCCCCATTCCTGACATGTCATTCAGCACGCCCCCAGCCGCTGCTTCCCCGGTACCAGTGTTAGTCTGAACCAAACGACACTCAGTGTGTCTTTTCCCCTACCCCTCAGTTCCTGGAACAGTGTGGCATTTGTATAATGAAACAACCTTCCTAAAACAGGAAGAGGATGACAAGCAGGAATGTCCTTTTGGCCTGCCAGAGCCCGGAGGTCCTGGTTCCAGCCTGTCTCTGACTCGGGCATTGGCTGGCCAGGTGATCTCACACAAGTCCTCACGTGGCCCCCGTGAGCCTTCGCAGTTTCTTTGTGCCAACCAGGAAAGGGTGCCCTGTGTGGGGAAGCAGCTTTGCCAGCACTGGGCTTGGCAGGACTGCCCTGCCCTTGGGCCTGCAGCAGGACAGAACCTGCACAGCCTTTTGCTGGCATCATGTCTCTGTTTCCATTGCTCAGTTTCAAGTGGGACAGACAAGAAGGGTCTCTCCAAGCTCTCTGAAACATGCAGCCGGCACGATCTTTGTCAGTTGGACTGTGAATAGGAGATTCTGCTGCCTGGTCCAATTCTGCATCCCTTCCCAAGCCCTCCATAACCCTTCTGATGAAAGGCAAAGGCACCTCTGATGTTGCTAGTTTTACCTTCAGAGAACCACCTGCTCCTGAAGGCAACCAAAAAGCAGAGCGGCTTGCTAAATGCAACCTGTGAGGTCTCAGGACCACCCTCAGAGGCCTCGTACTCAGTGCAGTGCTTCAGTGTAGCTGTGTTGGGATTCTCAATGGTCTTTGAGCAAGGAGCCCTGCAGATTGTGTAGTTGCTTCTACCCACAAACCTTTGAAAGCACCAATGGCTTTCCCATACCCCACAAAAGAACTGCAGAGGTAAAGGGCATGTCACCCCTCTGCCTGCACATGACAGCCCTGGACACAGTGGGAGTGTGAGGTAGGATGGAACAGAGGTAGAGCATGTGCTTTAGTTGGTGAGTTGGGCTGGAAGCAATCCTGGGAAACACTGCAAGACCTCCAACAAAAACCCCTCACCTGTCTGAACTCAGGGTTCCTTACTTGTGAGGTAGGCTCCCACTCATGATGCTTATTCTTCCTGAGACACGTGAAGAAAGGTCTTGCATGACATGTGGCAGGTGTCCAAAAAATGCCCCCTCCCCTGCTTGGTTCAGGAATAGATATTTCAAGATGGACCAGGCCTGCACATTGGAAAAAGCACTGAGGTGATGGCTGCCTTGAAGGCCATTTAGGTTCTAGGAGCTTAGGATTTCCCATTAACCAAGACCTCCTCCAGACCCCAGGTATTAATGAGGACACTTCAGGTTGCAGAGGCAGAAATCCAACTCATATTCACTTAGCCAAAGGGAAATTTATTAACCAATGATACTGGGAATTGAAAGGACACTGGTACTGCTCTATCCGAGGGTGTTGATCTCTCTCTCTCTCTCTCTCTCTCTCTTCGTTCCCTAATGTGGTAGACAAGATGGCCGCCAGTGGACCCACAGTCTCTCAGCTCAGCAAACCCAGAAGGGAGCAACGTGTATCTCTCTCAGTGTATTAACCAAGGAAAAGACTAATTGATTCTACTTAGACTGCATCCCCACTCCAGAGTGACAGGGGATGTGCCCACATTGGTGCCCAAGGCGGGACCATGGGGCTTAGGCCCCAGGACTGACAGTGTCCATGAGACCACATGAACAAGGAGGGGGGGTCCCTACAGGATGCCAGGCAGACACGTGCTATGTCTGAGGTCAGCTTACAGGTCATTCTCGCTAAGCAACAAAGGAAGCGAAGGAGGGAGAGTGGAGCCTGGGTGGCTTGGATGCTAGCACTTAAACCAGCCTTCCTAAAGGATGGGAAATATGGGGACACATGTCTTTTATGGAGATGAGGAAAGAGGAAGAACTGAGAAAGCTTAGGGTATGGTCAAGGCGCCCCTCCCCGCCCACCAGCTGCATAACTGCAATTCAACTTGCTTGTCTTTGGCTTACATAAGCAAACTGGTTTTCCATTTTAATGCTAATAAATGTTTCCTTTAAAAGTAACTGTGTTATCAAAGTAGGTCCATTGAAAGAAAAATAATAAAGAATGACATGAATACAGGTAACTACACACCCTCACATCAGTGCATGTGTTATGTCAAAGGCTGGAGTGAGGGGCACAGCTCAGCATAAGCACAGGACTTTCCCACTAAAAGCCAAAGCAATTCTCTTGCTAGTTCATATGGTATCTTTGAAAAACTAAATGCATGTTCCTCATCGTGTGGGTGGCAAAGGTCCAGATGAATATGTAGTGGGATCATAGAATCCTCAGTTTCTGGCTGGCAAAACCTATTCCCTAGATACACTGTGTCTCACTTCAGAGCAGAGAACCAGTTCTCCAGGACACTGGCCCACTGTTTCAGAGACACACAAAAATGGGATTGACAGGAAAATCACTATCACAGCATTGGCCAGGCCTATTGTCCTGGAGAACAGAAGGGACTATTCTTTATGGTCTCCCAAGGCCAGCCGGCCCCAAAGAGTACCAGCCGTCTCCCTGGACGAGAGCTTCCACAGCCCCCAAGCGTGAAGCAGCAGCTGGTCCCTCAGTTGGATGACTGCTAGGTCTCCCAGTTAGCTGCCCACTTCAGCAAGAGATAATGGAATAATGATTGTATTATCCCCTCATGTTTCGAATTCTTTTCTCCAGGCCAAAGAGAGAAGTCATGAGGGTTTTCATGCGGATCGAGATGCCAAAAAGCTGTACAAAGCCTGCAAAGGAATGGGTATGAAATACGTTTCATTTGCTAATTTATTTTCGAAGTCCATTAAACTTGATCTCAATACCAACCTTCCCACAGGGACAGCTAACTCTAGTTGATCACTTCTAGCGATCTTTCTATTCAAGTTTCCAAACCCTTAATCAGATCATATTACTCTTCAGTGTTCTATGTAGCAGTTAGAAGTTGGATATTGTGGCTTTCGCTCGGACCTTGAGCTGAAGGAAACATCTCGGGAAGTGATCTGAGCAATCCTAATGTCCTCTAAACCCCTTGATCCCTTTCGTGGGAGGTAGTGAGGACTGATGAGAGCTGGATTAGGGTTGCGGGAAATGCATCTAGAAGTCAAACAGGAGTCAAGGCCAGGAAGCTGGGCGGAAACTGGAGAAACTGTTTACACAGCACGTGACTATGAGCAGGGCATAAGCGAGAGGCTGGCAGTGGAGTGAATTGGGTGGGGGTGCAAGGCAGAGAGCACCCAGGCCTAAGGCCACGAAGAGGTGCTCTGGGACCCATGGAGGCCACTGAGGACATGAGGCTCCAGTCCCAGAGTCTAGAAGGTAGTAGAATCCTAAGCTCAGACCAACGATGGCAGAGCTGAGGCTGATGGAGCAGGACACACACAGAGGTGTGGTTGGGGCAGAAACCACTCGTGCCTGGTGACTTTCTGCGGCTCAAAGAGTAGGAGGCGAGGCCACATCTAAAGCGGTGGGTTTGCAATGGAGCGTGGGGCTTGAGTGCTGCTTGAGAACAGCCGGTGATCAAAGAACTGAGGCTAGAGAAGAGTGCTGCCTCCGGAGGGCCCTGCTGACGGGGAGGCGATGGGCTCTCCTGGCTCCAGCACCGAGACTCCAGTCTCCTCCTCAGCTGAAGGCAGGACAGGACCTTGGACTGCTGGTGAGAAGTCCCAGGAAAATAGCAAGTTGATGGGGGGAGAGAGCGCTAAAAGCACAGGTGGATTACATTTCCTGGATCGTCTCTTTTTCATTTATTGGGAAACATTTAAGTTTTCAGGCACTTTATATACAAAAGCTCACTGAGTTGTCCTTACAAAAATCCACTTTTCAAATAAGCAAACCAAGGGCCTGACAAGCAAAACACCCAAAGTCATAAAGCCAGTTAGTGGTAAACCCTGGGGTGGGTCCTCTCCAGTCACTCATTCCAGATGCCTTCTGCTGGGAAACACCACAGGTGGCCACCTCAGCCACGTGACTGCAGTTCCTAAGGGACGAGGGGGGCCTGAGAAGACATTGCTCAGGGCCACTGACCGCCAGGAGGAGCCGCCGGAGTCCATAGGGCGTTTTATTCCATTACTCCATTCCTTGTGGCAGTGTAATTCACATTCCCTGCAACCCACCCCTCTGTAACATTATAGCTCACTGGGTTTTAGTATGTTCATAGGGTTGTGCAACCATTACCACCAATTCCAGAGCATTTTCATCATCCCCAAAGAAACCCCAAACCATTCATAGCACCCACCTTCAGCCCCAGGCAACCACTGACCTAACTTACCTATTGCTAAGGATTTTCCTGTACTGGACATTTCCCATGGACAGAACTGTACAATATGTGGCCCTTGTCATCTGGCCTCTTTTACATGGCATAATGTTTCACTTAGAAGGAAATGAGTAGAGCCGTCCCTTCCTAGGAATAGGTGTTATGGTAGAGGAAATACCATCCTAAATTTTGTATGTGCCTCCCTCCAAAGGGAAAAAGGGGGATGCGTGGTCAAAGATCTAAGTGGGCAGATTGTGCTCCATTATGAGGCGTAGTCTTCCTTGCCCAGGAAATGTTGGGCAGCAGTCCTGAGGGAGCTGGGGTAGGGAAGGTCTGGTGGGAAAGTGGCAGCAGGATTTCTACACCCCACCAGCTGAGCTAACAGAAGCTGAAGCCTCTCAGCCATTTGCTTCCTTCCCGATCACCATGGCAGACACTGCTCACGGATTCCAGAGCTCCATCTTGCTGATAAATGGGGGCAGGAGAAAGGGACGGACGATGAGGGAGAGGAAGCAGAGAGATGAAAGGAAGGGAGTCGGTGAGAGGGAGGGAAGGAGGAAGAAGAGACGGCCCCTGTCAGCGAAGATGACACATGGCTGCTGGGTGTCAGAGGGAAGGAGGGAAGGACGCACTCCTGCCCCTCGTGTCCACTCAGAGGACAGCTGCCGGAGCCGGGTTTCTTTGTATGGAGGCAGAAGGACATTCACGGCCTGTGTTTTGCTGTGTGGCAGGGATTTCAGAGGTTTCCAGGCAGGCAGGGCTGCCCTGCTGCTCTTGAGTGAGGTCCTGGGCCCTGACCTGGGGCTGGAGACAGGCGTCTCAGTGGGCGTGAGAATGGTGCAGCTGCACTAAAGGGCAAATTAACCTAATTTTTATTAAAATATCACTCCACCAAGTAATCCAAAGTCTTAATGAAGCATTTGCCATCCTTCTTCCGATGGAGTCTCCTAAAGTCCGACATGTCCCCTGCACCACAGAACATCTCAGCTTGGACCAGCCACGCGTCAGTGCTTGGGGGCCACATGTGTCTCTGACATGGTCAAGGGCTTCAGCGTCACAGAGCTGGTATGAGCTCCAGCCCCTCACTGGGTTCTGTTAATGAACGTATCACCTCAGGCCATGGAAGACTTATTCTCCAAATGACACACGGCTCACAGATCTCTTTCACTTCTCTGCCCTGCTGGGGTGTGTGTGTGTGTGTGTGGTGTCTAGTCACAGGGAACCCAGAACAGACTCACCCTCTCCCTGCCCTCCGTCAGTCCCTTCTCTCAGGTGTGGCCCACGGCTCCCAGCATCAGGCTCTGCTGCTGAAGCAAAGGCCCGGCCCTGAGCCCCTGGTGCATGGCCAGCAGGCTCATAGAGGCGAGAGCTGAGGGAAATGGCTCAGCACCCAGCCTCTTAGGCTTTCAAGGGCACATGAGTCATCTGGTGGCAGTGGCAGAGCCCAGGCAGGCCAGGGCCGGCATTTAGAGCTCAAGACAAAAGCTTAGCCTCTGCCATGAGCTCGGCCTGCCGGGCTGAACCACAGCTCAGTGTCTGCCCAGAAAACTGCTGGGAAAGGGAAGCCAGAGACACTTCCTGGGCTGGCCTCACTGTGAGTTCACTCCCCCATCCATGCTCAGGCAGGGTCAAAGCTCCTCTTCCAGAGGGTTTTGCAAGTCTTTCTCAGAACCACCAGGGACTGGCCCCAGGGCTTCAAACCAGTGTAAATGTTTACAGGAAGCTTTTCAGCAGTGCGGATTGCTTACGTGACACACACTGTGAAACTAGAAGGAGGTCACTTGTAGCAAATGGCCTTTTGGCTGGGCAGCAGGAACAGCTTCGGACCAACTTGGGCTGTGGACTCAGGGCTTGAGGGAGTCAAGGAGTTGTTGTCATGCCTCACCCACCACGGGCTGCTGCTGACCGCTCCAGATTTCTGTGCTCCCCAGCCTCTCTTGTAAAAGCATTTCAGGAAGGAAAGCCTAGAGAACATTCCTTCTTTTTATCATGAACTTTGCATTCTTGATTATTCAGATATCCATTTCTTCGTTCGTTCATTCATGTATTCACTCCTATGCATTCACTCACTCTGATAGTCACCTGACAAACATTGAGGCCTTCTGTGTGGACACAGCAGGGAGCAAAGCACCTGCCCTTGTGGAACCTGCAGGGCATCATGGCAGAGGCACAGGACAGGTCATGTGTGGGACACAGGGAGGAATGACTGGTCTGTCGCAGGCTTCAGCTGGTGAGTTGAGTACTGGAGGAGGAGCTGTGAAGGGGAGAGTCAGAGATGAAGATGTTTCAGGGAGAAGGACCAACCCATGCACAGTCCCAGAGCTGAAGAAGGGGCTTGTCCAGGAGCCTCGAGTCCTTTCCTGCGTGAGGCAGCCAGCCCGAGAGAGGACGAGCAGGTGAGCAGGACTCAGGACCTGCTCAAGAGTTGCGTGAAGGGACCAGAGTTGAGAGGCTGGAAGCAGGGGAGTGGCCAGGTGTTCTGATCCTCAGCAAGGCCTCTGAGGGCTGCGCACTCACTGCAAACGGGGAGGCTCTGCAGGGACCCGTGTGGGCACTGTCAAGATTCCCTGAGTGATGCGGGAACCCAGTGGTCTGAGTGAGATGAGGAGACAGGCCAGAGAGGCTCAGCAGTGACTGGCTAAGTGCAGGGTGAAGGCAGGAGGGACCAGGCCTGAGCCCCAGATTCCTGCTGGCCCACCCACGTGACTGTTTAACATGATTGCCTCTCTGAAGGCCCTATTACCAGACAGGTCACATTTTGCAGTACTGGGTGTTAGCACTTCCACACATCATTCTGGGAGGACATAACTCAACCTGCAGCAGCCTGGGTGTAGGAGCTGGGGAGGGCAGGGGCTCTGTCAGTGAGCCCTTCCTGTGGAAAGGCAGATAAGGAACTGGTATTGAAACAGCTTTCCTGGTGGTCTTAGCCACATCTGTTACTAGCTGGGACAACAGAGCCCTAAAGTGAGTCCTGCATCTTTCACCCCGTGTGGGGCAGAGCTGGGATTTGTTTGATTCCACAGGCATGCGTCTCCTCTGCGCATTTGTTCCTCACAGGAGCCTCTAGGGAAGTGTAGACTGCCAAGTGCTATTCTCTGTTCAAGTTACTGTGCTGTCTGTGTGGTACTAACTTCAAAAAGTGCTTCCAAGGGAGAGCGCCTGAGCTTAAATGATTCCAACAGCAGGTGGTAGGGCCTGTCCCAAGGGCAGTGGAGAAGGCATTTGGAGACTGGGAGCTGCTCTTCCTAGAAACCTCCAGTCCTGCCAGGGAACTGACCAGCTGCCCTCGCCCAGCTCTGCCTGCATTGCAGCAGGTCGGGCTGGTGCCCTGTGCAGGGTGAGAGAGCCAGCCCCAGCCCCCCAATGTCCATCGGCCCCCACTAAAGCTGCTCCGGGATGAATGCGGAAACCTAGAAGATTACAGTTGCATTCTATGCACATTCGGCTTCAAATGAGCCTCCTATCTCTCCCTCCATCCAGACTGCAGGCCCTGTTCTCCTGAGTGGAAACCCTGGGGTGGCTGCCCGCCTCCCCTGGGTGGGATACCAGGGAAGCAAGCACAAGGCCAAGGAGTTCTCAGCTCTCTGCTGTGCGCAAATCCAGAACCTCAGTCACCTTCTTCCTGCCCTGAGCTGGAGGAATCCTGACCATCACCCACAGCCCCTCTCCCGCGGGCAGTCAGGCCCTTCCTTTCCTCCACCTGCTGCTGGCCACCGGCTGCTGGCCTCTCCGAAGTCTTCTTTAAACTTCATTTAAGTGATGGCAAACCACTGGGATTTCCCCTTAGCCACTGTGACACCAGCCTTGCCTCACAGCCCACAGCAGGACCAGAGAATAGGCTATGGCCTCTTCCTCCCAGAAGCTCCTACCCATACCAGGTACCAAGAGGGCTTCCAGGGATCAGGGGTCACAGGGGCTCAGCCTCACAGCACCTTTCTTTGAGTCAAGCAGTGCAAGACAATTCAACGGATATTTATTTGGAAACTACTTACTGAAGGTGCAAACAGGCACAATCTGTGTCACAAAAAGTTGACAGTGTGGAGTGGTCCTCAGCCACTCGCCCTTCTGTGGATATTGTCAGCCTGAGTACTGTTAAGTCAGAACTTGGATTTTAGTCAACACATTTTTGCTCCTTGTTTTCACAAACTAAGTATTAAAACAAACCCACAACTATTAAAAGATTTAAATGGTAGCCTAGTGACCTTCCGGGTCATTTTTGTACTCTAGTGGCAGGCCTGGAGGACACGGTTTGGGGGTGGAACAGATCCAGTTATGGCCAGAGCAATGGTCGTGACTGGCGCTGCCACAGGGCACACTATGATTTGGTGACCACTCTCTGTGGCCCAGGGACCAGGCTCAGAGTGCAACCCTCATGCCCTCCTGTAGTCACTGTGTGATCCGAGAGCCCTGAAAAACAGCAGGCCACAGGAAAACAAAGGCTCATAAGGGAAAGTTGACTCTTTGAGGTTTATAAAAGTTCTTGGTCTACTGCCAAAAATGGTTGGGATGAGGTAAGTTCAAGGATGTGACCAGAGGAGTAGAGTGAGGCCAGTTTTAGGGAGTCTTGAGGCCCCCTTCAGGGGTTTTGATTCAATTCTAGGAGTCGTGAGGAGTTGCCAAAAAGATTGAAACTGTGCTGTGAAATGAACACACACATTCTGGGAGGGAGGAGGGCAGAGATCAAAGACATCGGCGTCAGGGCATCTAAAGCATTTCTGGTTCGTGACCTGAACCTTTTAGGCGGTGGCTGCAGGAGTGAAGGAAAGGAACAGATGAAAGAGTCAAGTCCTGGATGAGACAGGTGGGACCTGGTGATACTGGACAGCAGGGGAGACAGAGGCAGATACCCACAGGCGATCGTGGGTTCTCCAGCTGATGTGATGCTGGACACCGAGATGAGGCAATGGCGGAGAGTGGAGTGAGAATTGTGACAAACGTGACAGTTGCACTCATGCTGGAAACTTAAGTGCCTTCCAGTTGGGAGGAAAGACAGCCACGGGCAGCTGGAAACAAGGTCTAAACTACAAGGAAAAAGTGAGACTGGAGGCCTGGCCCAGTGTTCCTCAGCGAAGGTGGCGGGGGTCGAGGAGGACTGGCAGAGACCCTGCAGTCAGGCGCCAGTCCCCACCGCCCAGGATACGACCCAGGCCTGAGGGAAGAACACACGGAGAGACAGAACCAGGAGACAGTGGGGCCAGGACGACCGAGGCTGGGGCAACCCACAAAGGCCTGGCCAGTCCCAGGAGCTGACCTTTATTAGCAATCAGTTGGGGTAAAGGCCATGTGTGCTTTCTATGGAAATGAATGTAAACAAGGCTCATGGAGGACAAGACAAAGCATCCTCAAATGAGGAACACGATAGACAAAATATATGGTTGTAACTGGAACATTGTCCTTCTAGTCTGAAGGTTTTAGTTGTGGGAAGGGAATCTGGGTGTGAGTTACTCTGAGATAGGCACATAGGCTTTAGCCAGACTTGCTTCTATAAACAGCCAGTTTTGGGATTCACTCTTCATAGCCTGTTTTGGGGATAATCAATATCATGGCCCTCTGCAGGAAACCACAACAGAAAGGAGGCCAGGGAGCTGAGAGTAGAGGGCAGGTGAAGAGGAAGTGACATACTGATGCAGAGAGCAGTGTGGCAGAGAAGGGACCGACAGGAGGGTAGGTGGGAAGGAAGGTGGGAAGGCGGCTCCGTGACCAAGGAGTGCAGGCTCATGCAGAAACAGGACAGCTCTGAGGTGTGGCCCTGTGTCCTCATCCAGAAGTCCGGATCAGGTGGCCTCCAGGCTCCCAGCACCTCTCACACTGCTGAGTGCTGTTCTCCGAGGCCCCTTGCCCCATCCCTGTGGCAGGAGACTCCTGAGGGGCCTGGGCAAAGACCATGAGCATGAGGCACTCTGGGCTTGGGCATCTGCATCTTCCACAGCCCTCCTTGGTTCTATGTGGTCCCCCATGGCCCTTGAATCACCGTCTCATGGGGGTGGGGGACCAGGCCTTGGCGAGGAGTGGAAAATAACCAGCCCAGTGTTGTGCAGCCAGTAAAGCCTGGAGCTATGACTGATGAAATCAAGTTCAGGGCTTGATCTTCCTCATGCCCACACTGGCCATTCTGGGCATCTTTCCCATCCTACTTCCATGGTTAAGGGTACCTCCTGCTCTTTCTCACTCATTGTAGTTTTGGGTCTTGGGCACCTTGCTGCTATGAAGCTAGGCGCCATGGCACTACTGCCATCCCACTACTCTGGGAGGCTGAGGCAGGACAGTAAGTTTGAGCCCATCCTGGGCAACTTAGCAACTTAGCAAGGCCCTCTCCCAAAATAAAAATTAAAAAATGGCTGGGGATGAAGGTCCTGGGTTCATTCCTCAGGACTGAAAAACCTGATTCAACAAGCATGGTATTTTGAGCCCTAGGAAAAAAGAAGAAACGTTGTAGAGAGGGTATCATTCAGAGGTGTAATAGGAGGCTAGGGGTCAGCTGCCATTTGGTCTGTTTGGACTCCTCTCTTGGGACTGTTACATTGTCGGTGGGATCAATGTTGGTGACTGAAACCCGCATCTTACTCTCATCCACCCAGCTGTAAGTACCTCAGGACAAGGGACAAACCATCCCCAACATGGCTGTCGATTTTAGAAATTTTCATTATCTCAAAAGAAATACTGTATCTTTAACTACCATTCCCCAACCTGCCTCTTTCCCTTAACAAGCCACTAGTCTACATTCTTTCTCAATGGATTTCTCTATTCTGGACTTTCATACAAATGGAATCATGTAATGTCTGATTTTATGTGATTGGCTTTTTAAACTTAGCATTGTATTTTCCAGGTTTATCCATATGCATCAATACTTCCTTCCTTTTTCTGGCCAAGTAATATTCCACAGTGCGGATATACCATATGGTGTTTACCCATGTGTCCACCAATTGTAGATTGTTTCCACTAACCATGACCCTTCACCTATAGTTTTGTGTGGACATAGTTTCATTTCTCTGGCAGTGAAACTAGAGAATTGGATCACCCACATGCCTCTCTCCACCTCAGTGCCTCGCACTGGCTTCACAAAAAAGAGAGGCTCCAATGGGTGTTTGTCTGAGGGAGTGACAAGAATACCCTTCCTGCGTTTTCAGCACAGACAGCAAAGTTGAAGGCCCATTCAGTACCTCTGAAATCTCTGACTGCTCTTAGCTGTGAGCTGGGGCTTCCTCAGACTTGACCTAAACAGACTTCCATCTTGTTTCTTGTTCCCTCTGACTGTGTTTTTCTCTCACACTTTAGGAACTGATGAAGCAGCCATCATTGAAATCCTATCGAGCAGGACATCGGACCAGAGACAACAAATAAAGCAGAAGTATAAGGCCAAGTATGGCAAGGTGATTGTGAGCGCCCGGTGTGGCCGGACATTGTCCCTGCTTCCTCCTCCCTCCCCAGGCTGCAGAGGGCATCTACAAGGCTTTAGTAAATCAGCCCAGGAGAAGACTGAAGTAACCATTTAAACTTTTAATTAACTTCAGAAAACCTGAAATTGCTTTGTTAACTTAATAGTCCATAAAGTCGGTACTCTAACTCATTAGTTTTCAAATTAATTTCATTTTTCTATTAAGTACTCAGTCATTTTTTTCCACTCAGTTTGGACTGGTTTCTACCTAACTTGTGGGTGGACCAATGTAGAAAATCAGTTTCTACAGGTGGGTTTTTATATAGAAATTTTTCATTTATTCAACATCTTCAAAGTGATATATTCTTTATAGGCTAATATTGCCAAAAAATGTAAAAGAAAAAAATGCTATTCCCTTAAGCATCAAGGATTTCTTCTTTACATTTTCTTCCTTTTTTTATTCTTTTTGTTGTTGATGATGCTGTTATATATAGAAATCTTTAAGTATATATTAGGCTTTCTTGTTTTCTTATTAATATATAATGAACACAACTTAACCTTTTCTTAATGTCACTAGAATTATCATTATGCGAAATAAATGTCAATCATTGTGCTGTATGCTCATCCATATTTATAAAACCTTTACAGTTTCAGACACATAACTAGATATATGTAGAGACAGAAAGATGGGTTTCCTACTTGACATTTGTCATAGTTACTTTCTTGTTGCTGGGACACAACACCCAATACCCACAAGTTGAAGGAGGAAAGGTTTATTTTAGCTCAGTTTGTAGAGATTCCAGTTCACAGTCAGCTGGTTCCCAAGCAGGGTAACATAGCAGCAGAGAAACAGTCCATGGCAGGGCAGGCAGGAAGCAAAAAACTTCCTTTACATTGCCCTGTAAGCCCCCTTTACAGTCCACCCAGGCTATAAGCCTTTTGGTTGGCTGCACCTACACCCGGGGTGAGGCTTCCACTATCCACACCCAGAACTATGCTAAACCAATCAGTGGGCTAATCTATTTATTATATACCCATGATCCAACCATTCCCAAAATCCCCACCTGAGAGCCCATGAACCTTTGAGAGGACACCTAGTTATAAGCGGTAACAACATTGGCCAGAGAAAAGTCTCTTCAGGCTTTGTTCTCTCTTATAATATGAAGAGGGTCATTTACCTCCTACTCAAGTGGCTGGGAGAATATGTCAGCATGTACCAATCAATGGGTGTTCTGATAGGTGTGATTACTTCCATTTTATGTATAAGAAAAGTAAAGCTCATATGTTTAAATTATTTATGTAAAATCACAGCATAGGCAAGATGGAAAGGGGAAAAGCAAGGGGGAGGGAAGGGGAGTTAGGCATGGTAGAGCACCTCTAATCCCAACACTCTAGGAGGCTGAAGCAGGAGGATCCCAAGTTGAGCCCAATCTAGACAACTTAATGACTTGGCAAGCCCCTGTCTCAAAATAAAAATTTCTTTAAAAAAAGAGGGCTAGGGATGTAGCACAATGTGAAAGCCTTAAATTCAATCCCCAGCACCAACGAAAAGGAAAAGGAGAGACAGAGACAGAGAAAGAGACAGAGACAGAGACAGACAGAACTAGGAAGCCTTCTGACTTCAAGGCCATTCCTACAGGACCCAGTGGTATGAGCAGAACTATTTATTTACACTTATACTAAATGGCCCAGTTGGCTACACTTTATAGTTTTTATGCTTCTCTCCTCACAATCAGGTGGTCAATGTCATCTTTTATAAAAATCAGTGAATCTCTGGCTCAAGGGCATTTAATTAAATTGGGTGATCTTGAACTTTCATCATTGTCCATGCCTAACTCTAGGAGTCCCCAAGCTGCATATCTGCCAACGTGGAAGGTTAAATCCAACTTTAGTCTGAAATAAGAGTAAAGGAAGGCCCAGGGTGGTTCTGCTAAAAATAAAGGGAGCATGCTGCAGCACAGGAGGCTGGGATGCCTTCTCTGGCCAAACATTTGCTCTCTCTCCTGTTCTCATCTGTGTTTCAAGAGCTGAGAACACCAAAGAATGCGCATAACAACCGTGGAGGGTATCAGAAGTGACCAAATCCAAGTTCCCAGGTCAGTGGAGCCTGAGCCCCACAGAAAACGATCTAACCACTCAGGGGCCTCAGGCAGAGCAGCAGCCATGGGCCGAGGCCTGAACTTACAGACCCCTTAGGATGCAGATCCCAGAGCCTGGAACAAAATCAGCTGTAGCCTCAGAGCTCAGAGGTGCACTGGGGAAACAGTTGATTTGCCTCCTTAGAAAATTCCTCTCATCGTGGGATAACAATGACAAAACTGTCATGTAATACATTTTCTGGGCACGTAAAATGCTGTGTGGCTATGGCTCTGTGTGGAGATTCTTCTTCCCCGGACGGGGCACTGACAGCTCTAGTGAGGCTGACTCCCCTCTGTCCTCAGAGGGACATGGGGAGGAGAAGCAGTTAGCTGCCTTAGGATGAGAGGGTGATCAAAGAAGAGATGAAGATGGAAGCTCTGAGGGCAGAAGGTCACGAAGTTACCTGCCGAGTTCTTTCTCACATGTATCCCTGGCAGGAGTTAGGAAGATAGCTGACATGACTGTGTCTGTGTGACCAAGAGAGTCCCTGATTGTTCCATTTGTCACACACACACACACACACACACACACATGCAGCTCTTAAGAGTGGCCCCCTTCTCAAAACCAACCAAATTATCAGACCCATTTAGCGTCAGATCTATATTTCAGTCTTTGCTAGCTGAACATTTGGGGACAGATCCTTCATCTTGAGATTCAGTGCATGGAAATAATGCCAGTAGCTCTCCTGCTAGCTTTTCAGGCTGTTTTTAGGATCCACTGAGAAAAGCTTTCTGAGCCCTAAAATGTTCTGCGCTGCTATTGTTACCTGATTCACCTTCAGGGTCTCCAGCCCCATGAAGGAAATCTGTGCTTCTTTGCCGGCCCCGGGGAGATGGCTGAGCAGTCACAGGGACCTCTGTCCTCAGAAGCAGGTCACGCTTGTCTGCACCGCTGCAAGTGTCCCAGGGCAGGCATCCTGCCACCCCAGCCCATGCGGCAGGGCAGAGAGACACCCGTGTCTCTCCTCCTGGGCCATTCTCAGTCAGGTCTCGCTGCTTCCCACAGGACCTGGAGGAGGTGCTCAAGAGTGAGCTGAGTGGAAACTTCGAGAAGGCAGCCTTGGCCCTCCTGGACCGCCCCAGCGAGTACACCGCCCGGCAGCTGCAGAAGGCCATGAAGGGCTTAGGCACAGACGAAGCCGTGCTCATCGAGGTCCTGTGCACGAGAACTAATAAGGTCAGTCCCATGCAAGTGAGAGTCCACACGCTGTCGTGGATGGCTGCAGCACTGAAGGGTAGCCATCCCCCTGTGAGCTGTACCAAAGGGAGGGATAGCTTCCCGTCTTCCTGCTTTCAGTCTCAGTGCTGCTGCCTCTGGGTGGCAGAATAGACCCTTCCAGAAGAGCTGTGTCACCTCGGTTTTGTCTTTTTCGAACAGGCACACACTTTTCTGTGGAGGTGACACGATTTCATTTTGCCTTTCTCAGCTTGACTTTCTAGGTCTCCTGGCATATGTGAGGCAATAATAGGCCATGTTTGTATCACTGCCCGGTCCATCCAGCATAGAGCACACAAAAGGCCTCTAACTAACCGGGAAGGTGGTGGCACCCAGGATCCCAGCAGACACCCCCAGGGTCTGCAAGCACCTAGCTGCGGAGCCTGCATCTCTCTCCACAGCAAGGGACCCCCAGGTCCCTTGGGCACAGCCCGCCATTCAGGAATGGTAGCAGCATTTGTCAAGGCCCCAGCAGAAGCCCCCTTGTCTTTGGTTCCAGAATTCAGGAGAGCCAAGGAATTTATCAAGAGCAAAGTGGGTGCACAAATCAAAAATGGGAGGGTTCCTCCTCCATATCCATCCTCGACAGTAAAACAGGGAGGCCCAGCAAGGAAAATGCCAGAGGATATTTGGATATATATTATTGTTAAATGTCCACACCCTACTAGACTAGCGAGCACCAAAATTTACTCCTACTCAGTAACTTAGTAACTCTGCTGCTCTCAGCTTGCGTGAAGTCACTTTGCAGAGTCCAGAGGGAAAGGCATCTGTCTGTCTGTCTGTCTGTCTGTCTGCACCTGACTTGCTGTGCCCAACACAGTGCCAGGGCTTGAGCTCTCAGCTGCAGTGACAGAGTGGTTCTGGCCTTGTCACAGCTGGCTCAACTTTCTGCTGTGCACATTTACCCCATTTCTGTAACTGTTCCTCCGCTGGACCCGAGGCTGACTCATGCCATCTCTTCAGCGAAAGCATGTGAATGCCCCCCCATGTCTGAAGAGCTGGCACAGAGGGTCCCTGCTGCAGCCCACACCCTGCCCTAGGGCGGCCTTCAGGATACCTCTGTGTGTCTGGCTGACTCTCCTTACCTTGGATATTGATTTGTGTTCATTGCCTTTCTAGGAAATCAAAGCCATCAAGGAGGCCTACCAGAGGTGTAAGTGATCTTTCCTCTGCCCTTGGATAAAGCATGTTCCTTTCAAAACACTTCCAGGAACTGACTTGTCTCACTCTCTCCTCTCCCTTTCTTCTTCCTCAAAAGTATTTGACAGGAACCTTGAATCGGATGTCAAAGGTGACACAAGTGGGAACCTAAGAAAGATTCTGGTGTCCCTGCTACAGGTAAGAAGAGCACACAGGTCTTGCCTACTTTATGATCCTAGAAAATAATCCTCAGCAGCATGGTATGTGATGAAAAAGGCAAAGTAGATCGACATTTCATTCTTTTATGAAGTATGCTAGGGAGGTGTGTCATTGCCATGACTGGGAAGTTCTTTGGTGGGGATTTCCCCTCTGCAAACAGCCCCGGCCACTTCCCACCAACAGTTTCTTCTGGTTTATGAATTTGCTCAGTGAGCAAAACCACTGTGCTTGGCCAGGGGCTTGTAACGTGGCCAGCACACAGCAGTGAGACTCAGCCCAGGAGCAAGCCCAGTCCACTGGACACCAAGGGGCCCTTCCCACAATGCAATTGCACACCTCCTTCTGGGGTTCACCCTGAATCTAGATCAGCAGGAATCCCGGGGAGGCAGGGCTTCTAGGGTTGGCCCCTCTAGGATGCGGCCCTGGGCCTTGGCATCTGTGCCCTCCTGACCCACAGCCTTGTGGGTTGTGTGTCTTTCCTCCATTTTATTTCTCCCACCGAGCATAGAGTGACAGCCAAGAACAGACGCAAGAGGGCTTCGCCTGCAGCAAGAAAGGGTTTCTTCCTGCTCCTGAAAAAGGCACCAAGAACTTCAGCTCAAGCAGCAGAGCTCCATGCTATCAGTGCCCTGGGTCAGGAGTACTGTGGGGACAGCAGAGTCCTTGCTGAGGGTCTCAGGCTGGCATTGGCCAGCATGGCCATTTGCCTGAGGCTCGGGACAGTTCCCTCCCTGGCAGCCTTGTTTTCTTGTTGACCAGAGACAGCACCAGTGCTAGAGATCACTGAGCTTGCTGTCGTGCAGCCCTGTGCTCCTGTGCTCATGCTCTGGGGCTATCTCATTTTGGAATGAGAGCAGGTAAAGCTATGGTTTCCTTGACAGGGTAGTCAGGTAGTTCAGGCTGGCCTCAAACTCACAGCAATCCTCCTGCCTCAGCCTCCCAAGTGCTGGGATCACAGGCATGCCCCCACACCCATAATATGATATAACACGTGTGATGCAAGTGGCCATCTGACCTCTCTGACTTCTTCATCTCTGACCTTTAAGATCTGTCACCTCACCAGGTCAGGCTCACCAAAGATAATCTCCTTTTGGATTCTTTTGATTGATTGGGGACCTGCATCACAACTGCTGTCCTGCCTTGGGCAGCATAAGCACGGTAGCAACATCACATCACATTCACTCAAGGAAAGCGGGTTATACCAAGTTGTATGTGTCACCAGAGTCGCCTTAGAATTCCACCTGCCACACAGGGCTTGGGGGAAACTTTGTGTCCTTGCATCCATGACCAGTTCCCCAAGTTCTGAGGAAATTGGATATTTTGGAAGGAAGATTATCTGTGGTCCAAAGGACCCACTCTAGGGGTATCTAAGGCTCCGAGGTCAGAGTGAATGACCCTGGTTTCTATTAGGGGAAAAAAAAAGACAGCACTCTGGGAGGCTGAGTCAGGAAGGTTGCAAGTTTGAGCCCAGTCCACGCAACTCAGCAACTTAGGGAAATCCTGTATCAAAATAAAAACAAAATTTAAAAGGTCTGGAAATGTATCTCATATTCCCACCAAGAGAGAGGAAGAAAGATGAGGAGAGAGAGAGAGAGAGAGAGAGAGAGAGAGAGAGAGAGAGAGAG